TCCATCCCCGCGGTCCCAGGCCGGCCTGGGCGAAAAGCGAGACAGGGTCTCACAGTCGGGCGCCAGGGGCTCCCGCCTGGCTTCCCAGCCACTCAGGAGGCTGAGATCTGAGGATCGCGGTTCAAAGCCAGCCCGGAAGGAAAATCCATGAGACTCTGATTTCCAATGAACCACCAGAAAGCCAAAAGTGGAGCTGTGGCTCATGTGGTAGAGCGCTCACCTTGAGCAAAAAAAGGAAAAAGCCCAGGCCCCAAATTCAAGCCCTAGAACCAGCACGCACGCGTGCACACACACACACGCAAAAACGCACACACGCTGCGCACACACACGCACACACACACACGCACAAGCTGGAGTCGGCAGGGCTCAAGCCTAGAGAGTCTACCAGAACTGAACCAAACAAAATATTTTTTTTAACCCAGAATTTATCTTCACCCGTCTGGTTTGATCATGACAGTGGGTGAGAAATTGTTTTTAGCAGGGCACCAGTGGCTCACGCCTGTCATCCTAGCTACTCAGGAGGCTGAGGTCTGAGGATCAAGTTCAAAGCCAGCCCGGGCAGGAAAGTCCAAGAGACTCTGATCTCCTATAAACCAATAGAAAGCCGGAAGTGGTGCTGTGGCGCAAGTGGTAGAGTGCCCGCCTTGAGCTGAAGAGCTGAGGGACAGCGCCCAGGCCCAGAGTTCAGGCCCCACAACTGACAAAAAAAGAAATTGTTTTGTTTTGCCTCTCTGCCAACGCCCCGCCGCGCAGCGCCGCCCGCCCCTCCCTGCCTTTCCCACAATGCACTCTGCTCTCTCCCGCAAACGGGAGGCAGGCGGGGAGAGGCCGTGGTCCTTGGCCTCCTCGGGACGGAGGGGCAAGGCGCCCGTGTTCATTACAACGCCGTGGCCCAGCCGCGTGTCGCGGGGCGGGCTGGGGTCTGCGTGATGGGGCCCAGGAGCGGCGTGGCTTCGGCAGGCTTGCGAAGCTAGCCGGTGGGAAGCCATCGCTGAGATGCCCCTCCAATGTCCCCGAGGTTGCTGAGCTGGACGCCGGGGCTCGGGGGTGCAGGCGGGGCCCGGGGGCAGCCGCGTGGGGCCTGGCCTGCGGGTGACCGCTGT